TTTTTTTTTTTTTAAGAAAAGTTACACAAATATACCACAAAAATAAATTGACAGATCGATTAAAATGATATTCCTCTTCTCTCTCATCGACTCCATGAAGAACGATTATCGGATCGCCTACCTGGAGATGACGACCGCGGGGATGGCTCAGCAGACGATCTCGTCGAGGGAGTAGGACTCGGTGGAGGATGGATCAGCGTTGAAGGGGATGTACTTGGCGGATGGAGAAGTCGTAGGACGAGGCTTGGCGACAGGCCTCATCGTGGATGTTCTCCCCCGCAAGGCGAAGGCGGATGCGGTGGCGGAAGGGGAATTGGAGGAGGTGGCGGACTTGTGTGAAGGGGGATCGGAGGAGTCGACTAGCAGACGGTGGAGGGTTTTTTGTGCTGAAGAAGGAGAGATTGCCGTGTGAAGAAGAAAGAGAGAGAGAGGGGAAATTACCATATAAATAGGAAATCAACTTTATAGGTATATATGCAAATAAATTTAACAAATTTGTTAATTTATAAATAATTATATAGTGGAGGTAATTATGTAATATTTAATTATTGTGAACGTGTACCGTGCAAATTCCTCCATTAATTACTACAAGTCCTTGGGCCTTTTATGGAAAAAAGGATGAAGTTGACATACTTTTGTCCTTCGGCTTTTGTTCGGTTAGTAACTAGTTTGATATTATTCTCATATTCCCCTATATATAATTTCAGAATGCGATGAATTTAAATGTCAGCTTCGTACATTTTGTACGCTTCGTAATCTTACTTAGCAAAAAATTGTACTTTGTAAATATGGCTTGGATAAAAATTACTAATTTTTTTTATAGAAATAACTTAGGTTTGGATTACCATATATACACATATTTAATATATTTAAATCATCCATATAAATATATTTATTATCTTCTTTCTATAACTAGTGCGCTACCTGTGCTATGCACGAGTTAGTTTTATTATGTAAGCATTTAGATTTAGATATTAGATGATTAGAATAACGTAAAACGCATGTATTGAAATAAAACAAAATGTAACTTATATATTATTAAACAGAAAACAACCTACCTCTGGGTAAATCTTATCTAAAAAAATAAATCTTGATATCTATGTATGTTAAGATTGTAAATATGTTTAAATAAATTAATTAAATTATTTAGCATGATATATATGATATAATTTATACTAGTTTTATGAAGACTGCATAGTCAATGGCAGATATTGTATTACGTCTTTGTTGATAATCTATAGTCGTATTATGTTAAAATTGTAAATTATTTAATTTAAGGAATGGAAAAATTGTGTACGTGTATGCGATCAACTTCAAATTTGTATCCTTGGATTCAACAAAACTCAAATTTTAGGATGTTCCAATACGATTTCATTTTAAATTTAAAATTAATATTATACGACTCTGTTTTATGTTTTAAAAAAAATTGGACTAGAGAACGTAGTGGCCAAATGATAAGGATTGTTAAAATTTTAATATTCAAGTTAAAATTTGACCTGATTTCTATGCAATCTGATTTTTTAATGGACATGATCTATTGTAATTAGGTAAAGATATATGTTATAATATTTTGTCTAATTCAAAATTCCCGATTTTGTGGTAAAAAGATTTATTTTAATAAAAAATGAGAGAATTTTGACTTTTACAAAATTGTCATGCCGAATTTTACCTAAATTAACCCTATTTGTATGCAATTTATTTTTTTAATAAACAATTGATCTATTACAATTAGGAAAAGATATATGATAGTATTTTGCCTAATTCAAAATTCCTGATTTTATGGTAATCAATTTTTTTTTTTTAAAAAAAAATGAGAAATAATTTTTACTTTTGCAAAATTGTAAGCATCAGTTGAAATTTACCTAAATTAAATCCACAAAACCCATGAAATTTTGATTCACATATAGTTGATCCTTTTTTTTGAATAATTTAAAAAGAAAATTAAAAAACTGCCGAAAATAGAATGCAATAAATGCTGGTTGACTTTTTTATTACTATTTTTGGTAAATATATTTTCTCTTTATATAGATACATATATAGATGTGCATATATTCTTACTTTCCAATTGTTTTTTATTTGTTCATATTATTTCTTTATGTGTTTTAAATAAAAATATAATAAATGAAGTCAATTATGATAATAAGTTAGTTTTTAGAATTTAAAACAATATTTTTAATTCACTTAATTATTTATCATAAATTGTTGTATTTTTTTCTTTATTTATTTTTTCCAGTTTCAACAATATATATATATATATATATATATATATATATATATATTGTTGACATCCGGATCGGTCGGGGCAGGACCGAACGGGTCGGCACCAAGAGCTGCGTGGGACCGAACCCGGGGGTTAGAGCCGAGCCTATCGGGATGCTCGGGGCCGACCTGAGTTGAGGGATTATGTGTTTTCCGAGTAGTAGAGAACGCTCCCCGAGCCCGGCCCCGGGTTCGTGGGGGCCGGGTCGATCTCGTCACGGGGCCGAGCTGAAAAAAGGCACGTCTGGGCCGCGCGGGCCTTCGGGGCAAAGGTGCCGACCAGAGTAAGTCGGGGCCGCCCCGACAGAGCATAGAACCGATCCAGTCGCTATTAAAATATTCGCCACTTGGGAGGTCATCATTCGTTGATGGGACGACTCGTCCCACCTATCCAATCAGCATTAAATGCCACTCATGCTTGCATTAAATGCTTAGTAGGCAATGATTGAGAAAACCTCAAATCGCATTTAATGGGCTGTCAGGAAGGCGCCGAACCACTCTGAAGATCTACTGTGTGACAAGACCGATGAACAATACCACATTTAAGAGTATTATAGATAGCAGCTCCCCACATTTATTTTGGGGTTGTTGAATCCTCAACTAACACAAGCTTTCTTCTACTTTCTCTCTCTAAGAATTGTAAGAATTGTAAGGATATCACAAGTGCCGACCTCGTACGAGAGGCCGACCCCGTGATCATTTAATAAAATTTACAATTAAACCCTATCTTTCTTGTATTTCCAATCTTGCATTCTCAATACTTTCAATCTCAACCGTTGACCGAAAACGCTCGTCAACAGTTTGGCGCTAGAGGAA